AGATGCATCATCGTTATCATTGCTGCTGGTTTCATCGGAGCTGCTGTGTTCGTCATCGTTATGCAAGACATTCCTAGCAGCTGTAACTTCTGACTGTTTTTTGCAAAATGTTTCAAGAATAGCTAAATGGATGGCATGATAGAGTCATCAGCGACATCAAAGAGTGCCGCTGCGCTTTGACCCGCGCCGCCACGCAACACAACAAACGGCGATTTAATTTCTATATAGGTAAATGATTTCTCGAGTTCTCGACTTTTCTCGAGCGTGATTTCCCGGGAATAAAGCCCAACGATTTCCCGGGAATTCTCGGCTCGAGAATTCCCGGGAATGAACCCTAACCGACACCTATCTTTGCCAATCTAATAAATTGTTGTGTAAACTCATTTCAATAGGTCAACAATAAGAAGTGTTCATTCAGCGTTACACGAGTGTAAGCAACAAGTGGCCATTGACCTCGATGTCTTCATACTATGTTGAGTAGGTAATTGTTATAGTCCAAGGAAGGACATTGCATCTCAGTAAATCATTTTTATTAATCGCCAGAAGTCCTGGAGATTAAAATTACCTACAGCTGGTTATTTCTCCCGTTTAACTGATCTCATGAGATGAATTAGACAAATTATATCTTTATTTATATTTTTACTGTATAACCGCAACAGTAATAAAACTACCCTACATTATGTTTATATCATAGTTTTTGCTTCATTATTTTCAATCAACAAGCGGGTCCTTTTTAAAGCTTACTCCACCACTCAATTTCTTTCTAACAGCCTGTTAAATTTATTTCGATAACAGCTGCGTACAATCACCAATTAAACCAATCTACGTGAAATTTATTGCTCCATTCTCGTTGTAGTAAAACCATGTTTTTAGGGGTGGTCAATTTAGTTCATTATTTTTCTTGTATGTGACCTTTGTTCAACTTTATAAAAGTAAAAATAAATTTCTATCCACTATGATACTTTATATCTATCCCGAAGTAAAAAAACTACTCCATACCATATTTAAAAGATACATTTAATAAATATTATTCAAGTAAAAAACTTTATTGACTACTCACTTTTCACGCTCCCGCCCAGGCTCCCGTCTTTTACCCGTCAGTATTAAGAGCAAAAAAAATGATAATTTTTGGGTATAATTAGGGTGGGTGGGCGTCTAATCATCTTCGGTCAAGATATTCGTATAATTAGATATCAAACTTCACAAGGTAAGTTCGTTTGATTCTTAATTATATTTGTATTCTAAACAATACCTTATACACAAATCGCAATATTATACAAATGATCTCGTTTAAGTTCATTCGAGCTTTCTTTATAGAATGTTGGTGTATGTATACGTGTATATTGTTAATCCATTTGTGTGGACATTATAACGTTAATAGGATTCCCTAGCTGTATATAAATAACAATATTACAATTATAATTATGCGCCTTGCCGACATGCCGCATTTTCGATTTTCAATTTCAATTCTTTGATTATTTTCCCAAATCACTACACTATAAATTGTAACTACTCTACGTATATTGTATACCATTAAACACGTATCCTAAACAAAGCTTACTAGAACAATATAAGAATTTTGTTTATTATAGTTATTTATTTTAAATACACATGAAATCGTTTTAATTTTAGTAGTTTTGCAAAATATATCCGTTTCACGAAAGGCGGTATCGTAAAATTTAGCCCTAAATATTTTATGACGAAGCGTTGTTCCCATAAAATATTTCATTTCTCTTCGCCCTGATCCTAAACTGGAGATAATCGGAAGTTTATCGAGCGGTTAGAGTAATATTAATCAAACAATGACTCAGTAGCTCAAGGTGTGCTTATTATATTTAATTATAAATAAACTTGACAAGATTATCGTTATTTTTAAAAGATACGCCAATTATGGAATCACAAACAAATCACAAATAACCAAATAGAAGAGTAGAAAAGCTCTTTATTGTTAAACATGAATTATGTACACACGGCTGCACGTTTGTACAGACTGCGCTTCGTATGGAACTTCTCTACTAACAGAGGTTTGCTTACGGTGGAGGTGGTGGCGTGACGTGCGGCCGTGTGTGTCTTTTCAAATATTTCAAATATAAACAAGATTTTTTTTTTTAAATATTTGCATTGAATTCGATCCGAAACCACACCAAAATTACAAGATTTCAAAAATGCTATGATGGCCCTATAGTCCTATATCACACATACAAACCTTCTTCTTGAATATCTCTGTACATTTATGAAAACTACATTAAAAGCCGTTGTAAAGTTTAAAAGATCTCAAAGTACGTAGAGATGTAACCCGCGTATGATGTAGCTTCCAAAAAGTGAAAGACTTTGTAAAATCGATCCAGTAGTTTTAGAACCTATTTGATGCAAACAAACAAACCAGAACACAATCAAATCAAACAAAGAAATACTGATTTGTTTAATACCTCAATTTATAATCTACTTAATCTGGTTTATTTGACATTGTCGAAGGGTTAGACTTGACAAAAGGCACAAATTCATATCACTAATCGCAATTTTATGTAGTCACCACATTTTTCAGTACCTAATATATATCAATTAATTGTCATTTTATAAGACATTTTCAACAATTTTAATAAATAACCTTAAAAACAAAACCACATTCTAAACGTGATTTAAATCACAAACGTTTATTTAATCACACATAAGAAGATCTTGCACATCTTTTCTTAATAAATAATAAACTTTGACAGTTTATTTTGCCGGTAACACACAACTCCCGCAGGCATACAAAAATGAATTAATACAGGTAATGAAGTGTAGTAATGATACGAGCCGCTGTTTATAACGCTCCAATGAAACTTAACGAGAAGCCAATTGGGACTCCACAAATGGAATATAAGTTTTTTGTTTTATGTTGTTACCTTTTCATAATGTATGTTAATCGTACCTACGTACAATTTATTGATCCGTATGTAAACAATTTCTACGTACGTACAAACTTTTTAATGGAGTTAGATATGATTCGAAACTTCGAATGTTTAGATCATTGTAGCAATTATTGTATACTGACAAATAACATAATCTTTAAGGAGCCCAATGGCGCAGTGGTAAGCACGTCCGATCTTCAATACAATTGTTAAGTAACTTTTGCAAAGGGCAGGTCATAGGATGGATGTTCAAAAAATTATTATCCTTAGCTCCTCCTTGTTTTGAAAAGCCCGTTGAGCCGTTGGGCCCGGCTACATCTGCAGTCGTTGATCATTAACACTGGGCCTGCTTGGTGCGTCATGCCCATTTTCCCTATTCGATTCAATCTATACGGAATTCCTGTGTTCTAGCAGTTCCTTCTCTCTCCGTTCCTTCCCGCTATCCCCCTTTTCCTTTCTTTAAACTTTAACCTTTATTTTCTGTATTCTGAATTGTCTTCCCTCTTTTTCTTACCTGTAGTGCTATTCTGTTATAAAAACAAACTCGTAGAGGTTCAATAAAATAATATCTACTTTAAAAGTTAGGAAAGCTTTTATTTAATTAAAGCTCTATACCACTATATGTTTAAAGCTCTTTTCTAACAGATTAACATAGCTGGTCGATCCTCTCTTGATTGCAACTCAGCGCTACCAAGTGAGGTAATTCTCACAGAAGTAGGTTGCACCTCCACCTGAGTTGCATCCTGCACTCGGCTGGCGGAGAGACGTCCTGTTTAGTTATACACTAATACCTTGAGCAATTAGTTATTTTCAGTAATTACAAAAGCTCATTTTACAAATCAGATCGTAACCAAACACAGATCACAATGAATAGCAAAAAAATACTACCTATATAAGTGGTTTTGATTGATCCTTCATTGTATACCGATAATTACGAGTATTTCTAATATAACATGTTGTAATCGTTCCAAAGAATCAAAAGTAAAAATTAAAAAGTAATTTGTAATTTTTTTTAAAAATATAGTAATTTCTAATATAAATATATATATTTTAGCGCGTTTCGGCATAAACAGTTTTGGTATCTTAAGATTAAAATTTGCAACGTCTCATCCATCATAAATCAAAATGTAAATTAAGCCCTCGCCATCGCGGAAAAGGTCTGATTGATTCGCTGTTTAAGTTGGAGAATTAGAAATACAATTTAAATATGCAACGCAGTAGAAATTTTACGAAATTTATGAATGTTTATTATACGAAAGTTATTGTTTTATCCGGTAACGGCATGTATTGATTCTTCATTGAGTTTTTTCGGAGCAGTATTTAAAAATTACTATTACTATGATTTAAAAAACATTTTATATCATAGTAATTTTTATAGAAATGTCTGTATATTGAAATCCTTTAATATAATAGCAAATACCTCACATTTCTCATTCTTAAACCGACGCAGGAAAACTACTGTAAACATCCAACGGAAGATGGGCACCGTAACAAAAATAATAATACAAGTTTGAACAATGAACAAACGTTACACACAACTTGTATAGGAAATACATGGCCGTGATGTGTTGCGAACCCGAAGTGGGTCAGACACGCAGAGGATGAAGCTCGCTAATACTACCGAGTTAACCTACACTAATATTTTAAAAGAGAGTCCTGTTATAACCTTTAGAACAATGGTGCCTATTTGAGAAAATCTTTTATAATTGCCAACAGATAGATAAAGACAGACGAAACAGATATTTCACATTCAAACACACAGCAGCATAACAGGTTGCTATATTAAATGCACCTATTTTAAACCAAGGGTTAAAACTGCATGAAATATAAAATAAACTTCTGGATAAATATAGCAAACTGAAAACGCGAACCGCAAAACTTTCTTATATGCGGTTTTTCATTTGCAACTATGTGTTTACAGGTCAACGTAAAAACGTATATAACTCATATGAACTGAAACATGATATTTTACCGTTTCAGTCAGAAGTTATGTAACAATTTTTTGTCCTAAAACATACATTCTTTTTCCTTATATGCAAAGCTTTTTGTAGTAGCCGTTAATCTGTTATTACGTGTAAAGACTTTTAAAACTTTTTTTTTTTGCAGGCCATAAGTTTCTGTAAACCGGTCCGCACAACTTAAAAACAAGTGAGTATGTAATATCATAAGTATTATAATAAACTACATTTACTTATTAGGGACAGTATATATACTGTATAACCTTAATCTCTGTCTCTCTGAACGCGGTAAAGATTTATCGAAAAGCTTTCATAAAATTTATTCTATTTAATAAAAGAGGTATTAATATTCAGATTAGCTTAATTTTAAATATTAAACAACATAGCAAACATACCTCAAATTCCAAGTTTAGTTTAGCGCTTAATTACCTCACAAATTGCAAAACTGGTATAACCATTAAATTACGAGTATGATAGTTTATGATTGAATTTTTATTTACCATGATATTAATATAATTTATGTTATTATTGTGTGTGATGTTTCATTATTTAAGGATGCGATTTGTTTAGTTCACTTAGGCTCGTGTGCTCTGGAATATGAAACTACAGAGATTCCATATCTGTGAAACTTTCGTAAGATTGTATTCCTGATTGTATTACAGATGCCATATAACCACCATTTTCTATATTGACCCGGTCGATAATCGAATGCTGGCGCCTCTTGGACGCTGAAACTTTATTTGAAGTCAGGCTATTAAAAATAGTGTCAGTAAATCCTCACCCGACTTGTAATATATGTACATAGTTTCTCCAATGTTAGCAAAACCATGATTTTAATTATTAAGGACTATTTTAGGATTTATTGAAGTCGTTTAACGGTGATTTGAAATCATTCTCATTCCTTACTCCAATAAAAAGTCATAAATTCATACTCTGTAATAAAATGTACGGTCGATGCAATAGCAGCCGCAATATTGTGCTGGAATCATACCAACAACATTCGAAGATTTGATACCATGCCAACGTATCTTAAGCTTTATTTGTTTGTGAAATAACTTTCAGGTAAATTTTATTGACTCAATTTGTAAAATATTTTAATTTTGGTCTAGATTTCCAAAGTTATTGAAAGAGGTAGATACTAAATAATTTTTATGCTGCTGAAAATTAACATCGTGAAATATTTTGCCATAGAGTCAATGAAACAATAATATCCATTGTGTGTTTCAACTATGTTTAATTCATGAACCACGATGGCTCCTTTTCAATGCAAAATATTCAGTAACCCGTTTTAACTAATCCGCCAAAGTACAGGTATTATACAATGTCTACACATGTTACACAAAATATCGATATATGTATTGGCATTTTTGTATATTCGGTAAACCTATGGTTACCATCTTTAATTTGAAATAACACGTTTTTAACAGGGTATTTTACAAGATTGGTTTATCGAAATCTTGTACGAATATTTTTCAATTTGATATAATATAAAGATTGGACAAACCCTCGAGAAAAGTGTAGACATCCTTCTCAGTTCGTGTTTCATATCTTACTAGCTTTCCGCCAGCTGCTTCTCCCTCATGGCCTTATATTACCCATAATCCTTCCTCTTGAATCTTTCTGTATATTAATGAAAGCCTCATTAACATCTATTGCTTTTAATTGTGTTGCGTACTATCTATAGACCATATAATACCTATATGGTCTCTTTGACACCACTCGAAGCCTAGTATATTTATTTTTTGCAGTTCATAACTTTTTACAGCATATTTATTATTCAAATATACTAGCCAACATCTCGTGATTTTACAATTAGAAATTTATACATAACAAATATACCAGTATTGTATTTACCGAAAATCCCTCGTCATTTCTGTTTAGATTTACTTATTGACTAAATTGAACACTGAAACCTGAACATCGAAAATCCAGTCGCTAGATTCATCGTTCTAATCTAGATTCTTTTTCTATCGTCAAAATCTACTCAATGGGTAAAGTAGAGTTCAAAAATATTTTACCTATCTTTTAACTTTTCTTCTAAAGCTTTGACACATAAATATTTTAATTGCTTGTAAACCAGTTTCATCGATGTAAACGCAGACAGATAAATTGCAGTAACCCAAAATGTGCATATGCTTTTAGTGGGTGGTGGGTCTGCCCGGTCTGCTTGTAAATCACGGATGCAGAGTTCGCAAACTGTTTCGAAGCCATATCGAGATAAGCGTGGTGTAAACTACGGGCGAGTCTGTTCTTTTATGTTTTTCTTTAGTACAAACGAAAACAGTTTCTCTTGTTAGTTTAAAAAAGAATAAAATTGTTAGATAGTATTCAACAACGCAATAGTTAAACATCAAAATGTTAACTGTGACCTTAACACTACATATGAATATTAATTCGAAGGAAGTCGGTGTTCTTACAGAAAATAAAAATTCGTAACATGATTGGAAAATCTACTCGTATGAGAAAAATAACAGTATTATAAAAACGCAAGCAAAAGCGATTTAAATGATAATTTGTTTCTAAAGTGCTCTCATTCCTTAAAACTTTACTTTGCTCTTATATAGGAATGTAAATTTCATATAATAAATAAATCCTTAATCAATAAATAAAAAATATTATCCGGATAAGACCCACTACTAGACAAAGGTCTCCTCCAAAAATCTACTACGATCGGTTCGACGCGGTCTTCATTCAACACTCCCCAAAGATCTGACCAAGTCATCGGTCCATCTTGGTAGACCAACGATTTTTCCAAGAGGTTTTCCGGCCAACAGCCACTTCAGGCTCGCAATTATTCAGACTGTCAGTCATCTCGGTTTGTCTGCGAATCTCCTTTCTGTTTTGAAATTGCAGAAAGACTCCGAGCATAGCTCTCTACATCGCCCTCTGATTGAAACAACATGTATTAGTTTTTCCCGAATTTCTCTGTTTTCCAGTCAACTGATTCATTACCTAAATACCTTGTTTTTGTTATTATACTCGTACTTAAACGTAAAAAATGCCAAATCAGTACAGCCATTCTTATGTTTTGTTTTATTGTTTAAACTAATTTCAATAAATAATACTACTTTATTGTATAATAGCAGCAGTCGTAAACTAAAATCATGATTCAGTAACGATAAAAATTGTTCATGTAAATTTAGAACTTTAACAAAAGAGGATTTCATTTATTGATGAAATTATTGATATGATCGAATCATTTTATATTGTTAACTGATTTGGAAGCACCATTTATTCATTTGATTCACCCATTGATTATAGAGAAGGATGCAAATATTGAATGCAGGATGTAAATATTGAAAAAGTATCGCACTCCGCAGCTAATGACCCTATTTTGGGAAAAACTCATACCAATCATCAGAAAATCAAAATTATATTTCATTTCTTATATGGTTGGGAAATAGAAAATATATTAGACATGTTTGTGCGTTACGTAGAATTTGTATAGTAACGCTTGCAGGCCATGCACGTTACGAAGAGATAAAGAAAATATTTGATACGAAAGATAGTACCAGTTTAAAAGTTAAAACGGGCAGGCTCTATCTGCCCACGAATCGCTTCAACGCCTCGTGAGTACAATACTGATGTATGAAAATAAATGTTTAATAGAATCATTCATTGCAATATAAGATATTGCGGAATTGCAAGGAGTCCTCCACGTTTTCTCTTCATGTTGTCGTAAGGTCTAACGATTACTGAGGGTGCTCCTTGAAGGTGCGGAACACGTAAGGTAAGTTGGTGATGGTTGCAAGATTTGTTGCCGCTTGAGCATGTGAATTTGAACGTGCGGGCAGCTCTTGCAGATAATAATAGACCTAGAATTCTCTGTTAGAAACGTGAAAATAGTTCTGCGCGCAATACTCTAGTGACTTGTACCATTTATGCAAATATTTATCCGTATAACCCTCCGGTCTGCGTTGCACACGTGTTATTACATGGGAGTGGCAACGTCCGGCTGGCGAACTCTTTGGCACTCGCCGAATTTATCACTACGGGCCTGACTGGGAACTTTTTGAACGAAATCAAAATTATTGAAAATTAGAGACTCTCTCATTTTCAATCATAGATCAACAAGCATATTTTCAAATGACTGCTTTATAATCTTACGGATCTTACGGAGAATTCATAAAGATGCTTCGTAGTTATTTTTTTTCATTACAATTTCAAGTTAGCTGGAAATTATAATTTTTCATATTTCAAGCGCATCGTTCGATCTTAGGTGATAATAAATCTAAAAAATATCCCACTTAAAAACCTATATATTATCAGAATAAAATTTGGTCGTATTAAGTATAAATTCTAACTTAATCCTTTGTTGATATGAAACTAAAAGTGTTATGATTTGTTGACATTTAATCTGTCTTTTCCACAGAAAAGAAATTCCGTTTTGTGATTTTACCATTGTAAGTTTGTTAAAGTCAGGATTGCATCATAAAATTTGTCTGTGAGAACATTACGATTTCTAAGATACGTGACTTAAGATCGAGGTACTATATACTAAAATCAAATATGTACAAACTGAACATTCTATCAACTGAATCGTCAAATAACATGTCGACTCTCCCCGAACTCAATTAAGGAAGATCGTAAAACGCGTCAGCGTTTCTCACCACAGACAACCAATCGGTCGTAAAACCAGTTTTCGAAATTGTTGGATGATAAATTTTGCAAAATCGTAGTTTGTTCTTGTAGATTACTTTAATCTCCTGAAAGCTATGATTTATAACAATGACACAATCAACTTGCAAAATTTTGAAGTATCAACTGATAATTAAAAGTTTACTTATTGTTTGCATCTCTGCTTATGCTATAAATATTTACTTACTAATTGTTTACAACTCAGCGTCTGTTCTCATTATTGAATTACACGTGCTATTATAATAAGCTTAAGTTGAGAATGAGAGATATAACTTCTGAATTGATTAAAATTTTCTTCTAATATTTGTCCATCGCTTTTCGTGACAGCTTCCGTTTTCAACCAACTAAATGTGGGAATGACCTGTCTCCAACTTTAAGGAATATAGCCTCAAGAAGCAAATTGAGAGTTAGTTGAAACGTCAAAAACACAGCATTCTTATTAGTTTTATTGTAAAGAAAGTTATAATTTATTGTTATGTGTGATCTTAAATATGTTTAGCGGTTTATCAAGTTTAGCATAATATTAAATTCTTAATCTATGTCATCTTTAAT